TATTTGGTTTAGTGAGTATGGATAAATTTAAAATATTGGCTTCGCATGTCAAATATTTGGAAACTTTTGGAAACAAATCAGCCGTCCGATTTAACCAATTTGAGAATGAATTGCATGACTTCATGGAATTGTCGGAAAACCGTTCTACTAATGTGTTTTCTATGATTAATCAGAATCACAAATCCATTAATCAATTGTTGAATTACATAAATAATACGGAATTTAGGATACAACTTGATGAGATGAATATACGAAGACTAAAAGTCAGTATTGACAAAACTACGGGATTGATGACAGCGTACTTTAAATACCTAAGTCAAGTAATATATAATTTGAAATTTGCGGAAACATGGTATCATAGACACGTGCTGGCGATTAAAATGGCTAACACTGGACGTTTATCGCCGGATCTCATTTCGGCTAATGATCTAAAGAAAGCACTGGATAAGGTTAAAAATAAATTGTCATTACAATTTCCGAACTTTAAAGTAACTGAATCAGCACTTCGGTATTTCTTTGAAAAGCCAATTGTATCTTACTCGCGCACAAAAAGCTATTTATATGTAATGATTGAAATACCTATTTCTACTACGGGATATAAATATTCTCTATATTATGCGGAAACTCACTCAGTGCCTATACCGCGTGATTTGAATCTCGAACAACAGCGGGACAATCAATCAATCATACTAAATAATCCTCAAAGATATATTGGTCTAAATGAAGAAAGTTCCTTTTATTTCGAACTAACCAGAGATGACTACGAAATTAATGAAAAGTATGATTCTCAATCTCAAAATGCGTATTCTAATTTGAGGCCTATCCAAAAGAAATCGTGTTTACTAGCTCTATATATGGACGATGTTCAAGATATTCTAAAATTATGCAATTTTCATTATCAAGAAGAGTCAGAAGTTCGCACTAAAATTATGAAAATATCCAACAATCAATTCTTAATAAATGCTAAGGCAAAAGACAATTGGGTTATGCGTTGTAAGCGTAATCCCTCAAAACATATACCTACTTGTAGGTACTGCAAAATAAATTTAAATTGTGATTGTTCTTTGATGATCAATGATAATTATATACCTGAGCGAATAGGTTGCGTTATGGATTCAACAGAAATCGAGTACAATTATCCCATTAACATACCATTCATACATCATTTTATAAATGAAGAATTAACGGTCAACATGACCGGCTCCGAATTAGACTCAGTGGAGCCTATGATAAACCATGAAAAACTACCAGTCACTATGACATCAGCTAGATGGCAAAACGCTATCAAATCCGAGGGAATAATAAAAACAGATGTTAAACATCTTGCGGAAGCTGTAAGGTCTAAAAGACCTCTACATTTTTCAGAGGCGGATCAATTGAGTTTTGAGATGGGTGATTGGGACGTTTTCGGAATAAATATAACCGATGTGATAATTTATGTTTCTTTTGCTCTGGCTGTGATCGCGATCATATCTAATATTTATGTGCTAACAAAAATAAAGTTTATATTAACTACTATTCTGTCGATAAAGAGTGTAATGAAAGCGGAAGGTCGCCAATTCATTGTAAAGTCCATGCGAGATGCTACTACGAGTCACACTTCAGAAAATATGAAATATTCAAATGTCACCCAAACTTGGTCAATCATTATATTGACCATAATGACATTTTATGTACTAGTGATGACGATTAAGTTTATGTTGAAAGCATGGCGTGCCGTGTGCGGAAAGCGAAGTGTACATAGGAAATCTAGATTGATATTAGAATTATCTTCATTGAGTCAACGGATGACGATACCAATAACAAAGTTACAATATGGGTATGAAAGGTGTCAGTTGACTCAGCGAGGAGTTATAAATAGTATTCAAGTTCAAAAGGGTCTGTTCCAAAATAATTTATCTATTGAATGGGGAGAAATCAAATTTATATTGGACAATGAGGAAATGAATTTGAATTTGCCGCCACAAGTTCCCTTACCTTATGGTTATGGGAGATCCATCACCGATATCCTATCTAAACCTTATATTATTAGATTTTACTACGAATTGGAAACTAATGTATTTGTCCTAATACCTTTGGAGAGACTATAATGGGCATGGTTTTGAAATTTCAGTGGCTGAAAGACAGGTGTGGCGTAGGCTGGGGCCAACCGAGGACAGGGCCACCCAGACGGACCCTATAGCTCAACCTACCCAACCCTCTGGGGGGCCATCCAATGACCAAGACCCAATCCAAACTCCCGTTGGGGAAATAATAGAGGCGCAGAATGTGTTCGTGGAGAAAGTGACAGTTACCAAGTTCAAATAAAAAAGGGAAAATCTCCTGAACAGTGGCAGTGATATTAAAATTTGATGTCTCGAGGGTTAGCGTGAATTGACTCATATCCCCGATGATAAATGAATAACAAACTACAGTCTTTGATAATTGCGTATACTGAATTCCTTATTTTACCGATTACCTCAAAATAAAAGTATAAGTCATAAATAGAAGAAAGAAATAAAAATAAATAAAAAAAGGATAGAGAGCCATGAGCCACTAGCAAACAAAAATGGAGTTATGTAAATTTATCAAATGTCAATTAAACACCTTACCTTCCTGGTCGCTGAGCAAGAAGGTATACTCCAAACAGTTAGACAAATTAATAAACATGACCTCATTGTGTTACAAATGCCACTTGATTTATCCTATCATGAATATCCATGGCCTCCCTTGCGGTCATCATGTCTGCTCCAAGTGTAAATATGCCCTAACATCAGATGAACTATTAGGTTGTTTAGAATGTGTACAAAAATGGAAAGATGATCCCTCCTGTTGTACCAGCTGTTTAGCAGAAATCACTTACTCGGGGGAGGAACATAATTGCCCAGGTTAAGTTAATGAAATAGCATGATAAGATGCCTTTTGCCCATTTGAACTTGAACTACTGAAACAATTTCATTGCACGATAATGTATTTTATGAGAAAAGCATGAATTAAAGGGGAATTCATTTAAATTGCTAAATATATGCATGTGTATATATATCATATTTCACACTAATGCTTTTAACCTTTGAGCCTGCAGTTTCTAGAGGACCTGAGAATTAATAGTTGTTTGAGATTGGCCTCTACTAGAGACCTCTTTCTAGCAATGAAACAGTCCGGAGCGCCGAAGAGGTTCACAAACTTCATACGCTATCATCTCAAGAATCCCCTTTGATCAATTGAACCAGATGTAAATAATTAATTGATCTGACATATATAATCACATATAACCAAATATATATTCGAAGCATGTTTTGCTAATTTAGTGCATGAGTAATAAATGCACTAAATGCACTTAGTGTGTGCACATGATAACTACTATGAAATATAAAGTGTGTATCATCATAACATATAATCCAGGTGTACATAATTAATTGATCGAATAATTTATTAACCGATATTACCTCAGTGCCTTTGACTGAAGTGAGTTGTAAATAATGCTAACACTAATTTATTAATCACATATTTATCATATAGTATAGCAACATCTTATTGGAAGATGTTTTAACTGCATGAGAAACGATTAATTGCCATGTGAAAGTGCCTTATTGGAGGGTACAGTTTGGCAGATTTTAAGAAGAAGTCATATAGATGGCGAAGTCAAATTGAATATAAGATGTTAGGTATAGAGATAAGTTAGATAAGTTTAGTCAAGTATCATCATTGCATGTATTCATACATATTACTCACATAGTAATCATATTTACACACCTTATTTAACCATTATAACATGATAATATATTAATCACTAATGAAATAACAAAAGAAGAAGATGACTTCAGAGACGAGTAGCTCCTACAAAGATGAACTAAAGAATCACCAGGTGCCATCTATCAATGGATCACACAATATATGAACGCTGAATGCGGATTATGATCAGTGATATCGATAATGAATATGGACGCTGAAGGTGAACCTAGCAAATGCTATGAAGAAGAAGAGAATGGATAGAGACATTTACTTATGCATATCCATACTGCTACAACAATTCATAAACACTAATAGTGATATGAAGACGGAGACTAAGAATAAAGTTTAACAGTTAATTAAACTATGAACTCTGGAGCATGAAAGTAATCCTGGTCTTTCACCACATTCATTGGAACCAGGAACCACGTCAACCTAATGGGTTGTTGCGCGGCCGGAATGTGGTATATCATCTCTAAAATATAAAATAAAAATAAAATAAATAAATAAATAATTTATATTGTAAAGTAAATTAACCAGGTATGGTTAATTTCTAAAGAAGGGGAGATTGTTATGATTCGGTCAGTACGTAATTATATTTAATTATATATAATTACTTTATTATTTATTTATTATTTATTATCCAATATAAAATACCATTTATATTCAGCATATTCAAACATTGTAAAGATCTTGCTGCTTTCTTATGATTAATGACTATTTAGACCTCAGTTTGCTTTAGTGCAGGGGAATCCCTACGCTACTATATTCAGCCAAAATAAAGATATATCAGAAGAATTCTGACAAGTTAAAACTTCCAACAACCAATCACAACTCAGAATTACGATTTGAATCTTGCTTACATAAGCATGAAATCAGCAATATTCTTACTTATATTTGCACAATTTTGACAGGTAAAATAATGTATTTTACCTGGTATATAAAGAAGCCGGCAAGATCTGTTGATTCAGTAAGTTTTACTCACTCACTACGATGCTCAACAATTGATGAAAGGAGAAACAATAACAAGCGAATCTACCGAAACTCGGCTGGCCGGATCAATCTCAAGAAGAATTGGAATTTGAAATAAAAATTAAGAAACAAAACAAAGGAGTCGTGTTCAATTAGGTAGTCAGGAACCCTGCGAGTACCGAAGGACCACAAGATCCCGAGATAACAGTTACGATACGTAACAACCAGGATGTCTGTGCACTTCAATGGCAAAGCCATACAATGCATGGACACATACTACAACCATCGCAATATGAACGATTCTCCGAAGGAGTAAATTTTGGTGTTTTGGCACAATCATATATGGACAAGCTTACAAAAGAAATATATAGAAGACCTCAGAACCGAATCTTTAGCAGATGCTATTGCATTGGAAATAGGCACTGGTGAAAGATTGTTTGATGGCATCACAATAATGACAGATGCAAGACACGGATGGCGTAAAAATGCTAAAGACTGCGACGTTGTCTGCATAGGAAATGAGACTCACAAGATGTTGAACAGTGTACATGTTACCAAACTAGAAACCCCTCTCCTCAAAGACATGAAACTTTTGGTACCAAAAAGTTATATAAGGAATTCTTCAAAGAAGAAGGAATTCACGTAGCAACTCATGTCCACGACTGTAATGGTGTAGTGAATTGCTATGTGAGGGATTATGAACAGCTCACACTAAATCAAAATGATTCAAGGCACGACTGTATTGCCCAGAAGAAACATATTAAGAATGTGGCCTGTGGAGCAAAAAAAGAAGCACTCTATAACCTGGCACCAACAATTGGAGGACAAGCCAGAGGCTGTACGAAAATTTGCTTACACAGCAATGAAAATTGTAAGAGACAAAGACTTGTTGATGTTCATGTTGGATAATATGATTTTATATTATTTTTCAATTTTATACTGGAACAAAAATGTAGATAGGGAATATACAAGTGTCAGTGAACAACACAATCGACCTAATGCCCCCTTCAAAATTGGATAAAAGGTGTATAGACCACCAAGTTATAATTTCAGAGAAAGAATTTGGATAAACCTAATGAATGATATTGTTTTCACGTAGACACCTAATGAATATATATCTAGTCACTAACTTTGGAGATAAATAAAATTGTACTTTGTCATATTATGGATTATTTATATTGGATTAAATAATATTATACCTTAGCTATTATGGATTATTTATATTGGATCATTAAAACATTTATCAACTTGTGAGTACAACTATAATTTGCTTCTCTTTACCATAATACAAATAACATGTGCTACCTATTTGTTATTGTTTACTTGAACCCTTCTTGACCTGAAATCTGATCTTTGACCTCAACTTTGGATGATGATGCCCAGGTCAATGTAATCTCACATGGATTGTTCAAGAGGTTGAGACACCTCACTATGAAAGGCTCTACTACTAGGCTATTCACCTACAACAGGCAGCCCCTGGACGTCATGGGTGAATGTGATATGTCTTGTAACTTCAGTTTCAAACTACGGCTTCAACTATAGGTTCACTTCAATGACATTTTATTTTCAAACCACGGGTTCTACTATAGGTTTACTCCAATGGCATATTCACTTCAAACCAAGGTTCAACTCAATGATATGTTAGCTTCAAACCATGGGTTCAACTATAGGTTCACTTCAATGATATGTTAGCTTCAAACTATGGGTTCAACTATAGGTTTACTTCAATGACATTTTATTTTCAAACCACGGGTTCAACTATAGGTTCACTTTAATGACATATCAGCTTTAACCATTGTGTAATGTTTAATTTGCTTTACAGCTGCAGAACATAGAGCATTTCTCATCATGTTTGGGCCTGAGGTATTGACTGGACTCCTACCTGATGACTACATAGCACATTATTGTATGCTCTCAGCTGGGGTTAGGATTTTACTCCAAGATAAAATATCACCAACTGAACTGGGCCATGCAGCAGCACTACTTTACAATTTCTATGATCTCCAAGAGTCACATTATGGTAAACCTGTTCTTAGATAAAGCAGGCTTGTAGTTTTTGTAACACACTCAGCCAAATGACAAACAATGCTAATGCTACTCCTCCAAAGATCGTAACAACCTAGTATTTGACACAACTTACAATTAAAATGTTCAATCGATTTCAGGCATTACTATTATATCATACTTTTCAAATGTGATTGGTGGAAAATCTTCAGCATGATATCAAATTTCCAACATGCTCTATTTCATTTCTATTCATTTTGTGACAATTGTACTATTTTTTAGGAAAGTCATCACTGACAATAAATTCCCACAACACTGGGCTGCACCTAGTGCAGTGTGTGTGCAGTGTGCAGAAAATTTGGTCCGATCTGGGCAACATCATGCTTTGCCCCAGAGTCACATATTGGTACACTAGTCAGGACAATCCAGGGGACTCAGAATAAAGGAATTCAGGTAAATATTCAAATAATCACAAGCAATTGTTAGTACCCAGATGCCAGTAGATAGTTAGCCATTTCACCACCAGTTGACTAATTCAGGTCAGATAGCATGGCAGATATAGTAGAAAGTTCCCTTTAAATGAATATTCATAAGTTTTAGTTTTAGTGGATCGATTATTCAATTTTCATATTACCCTTATGTGTCTGATAAGCACACATGGTACTATTTTATCAATTATAAATATTTGGTTGGTTTATTTTTCAAAAAAGGAAATCACTTTGATAAAGCTTAATTCCAAAAAGTGACAAATTGTTTAAATACATTTGGCGACAGGCTGAGAGAGATTATCTTATTGTTTTAAGATCAAGGAATCATATGATGCAATTGTTTAGTACTCATCTTCAGATCATTCAATTCCAATAACCAATCAAATTGCAGGATTAATGTTTTAGACACTATTTGATGACACTGACACTGACACTTTTGTTTATAATATGTGATATTTTGAGTTCAGATTAAAGAATTAAGATTGACCAATCAGAATGCTTCATTTCAAGTTTCAAACAATTATTGCATTTTCGTATACTTAATACATGTATAAAGTATTGCACATACAAAGTGTCAATCAACATTTTGTCATTCATGCATTGTCCACGTAGCATTAAATACAATGTACTCTAACTGAGGAACATTTTGCATAAATGTTATTTTGCACAGTTGCACAATTTCAATCTCATCAATAATCTTCAATACTAATTTATTTTTTCAGGTCTTGAACAATCTGAGGTCCATTCAACTCTTTAAGAGTAATGACCCTTCTCGCATCAAACCCAGATGTTCAAGAAATATTGAAGAAAAAATTGTGAGTGTTTTTAACTATTTAATAGAATTCAAATCATGCAGTGCATTTCCTGAATTTAACTTATCGGCCTCATTTTCCCAAAATATCTCAAAATGTCAATTTAAAACATTTCAAAACCTGTTTTGTGAAGAGTGGATAAAAATTGCAAAATTGCAAGAAATATTGAAGAAAAAATTGTGAGTGTTTTTAACTATTTAATAGAATTCAAATCATGCAGTGCATTTCCTGAATTTAACTTATCGGCCTCATTTTCCCAAAATATCTCAAAATGTCAATTTAAAACATTTCAAAACCTGTTTTGTGAAGAGTGGATAAAAATTGCAAAAGTTAGAGCAGTTTGAGTGAAAAATTCTGTGACAGATATATATGTCGCTCTGGGTTCCAAATGGATTTCATTTGTGACAGATATATCCGTCATTCTGGGTATTCAAAAGGTTAATTAAACGTCAGTCCTGAATCTGTCAAATTGAATACTTCCATTAGGCATCAGTCTAGATAAAATTTATAATTGTTATTATTCTCTAATTATTGATTATTGTTTTCAGGACAAATGTTGTCAATGTCAATGACTGCCTTTTGGTAAACCCCATTGTCACCGAGACCGGTCATCAGAGGTCAAGCAAAATAATATACAAGGGATAAACAATAACAAGTGTGCATGCTCCAAAGTATACCAAGAGAAATGATTCAATCATTGCCTACTGCATTAATAATTTATAAGTAAGCATATCAATATATGATCATCAGTAAATATATGATCATCAGTTATTAAGTGATAATTAAAAAATATGATTGATTGGGGAAAATATTTGATTCGGTTTCTATGATAAATGCATGAATAAATAAAATACTAACTTGATTGTACCACTTAAACCAAGCTTATATCCAGAGATTATCAATTATAGCAAGTAAATTTGTCTTGTAAACATTAGAGAATTTTCGTTATAAGTTGTTTCAAAAACTTATACGTATACTTATAGTTTAAAGGGTCTTGTCGAACTAAAATCAATTCAAGTTGATTTTCATAATCTGTACCAAGTGGGGCATAACTATTCCCGATATAGTCAAGCTCCATCATCAACTAGGGACTGCGAATACAATGTCCTTTGCTAGTGTCAATTATGAACACGATAAACTAAACGCTAGTTGACGGGTCCTTGTAGTGTACGATAAACAAGACCCTTTAAAGTGAATCACTACACGAACGAGTCGATCATTTCAAAGTTCTCATGAAATTATAAGGTCAATTTTTAAGTTTTTACGTATAAAAGGGCCTTTATACGCAGATTATAAACTTACAGAGTTGGATCTCCGCATAGTATATTATTAAATTTAATCGGCTGAATAGGCATAGTATCCAATCAAACAGCTCGACTCATTCATTAGCTGAACTAATTCTCCCTTCGTTATTTCTACAAAGTGATTCAAAACTATCATCTACAAAAATATATTTGAGAGTAGATAAATCTGTAAAACCCGTGTGCTATATCAGCCTTTTTGATTCTAGAAAACACATATGACACAACTAAACATGCTTTACATCAAGGGGGTACGGATGGTATGTCATTTACCCTTTTTATTGCCGTCCTAGGAGATATTTCCGACGAATTAGGAAATTATGAAACACCTTGTTTATTGGGTTTATAAGTATAAGTATACGTATAAGTTTCTAAAAAACTTATAACGAAAATTCTCTATTAAATAGATCCAACCTTATGTTTTTATATTGGTGCTTTGACATTGCCTATAAGACTATTGATTGTTTATATTATAGAGTGTTATATGCAGAGGTGCAGCATTTCCTACACATTGACGGAACAACTTATGCATCTATTAAAAACCTGGAGATGGAAACTGATGTGTGGCTGATGAAATTCCCTGTCCCCACATCAACAGCACTTAGAGAAAACACTCTTCATTACACTAAGAGAGTGCGTCAAAGGTATGAGATATGAAAGTAAAGCTTTAATAATATGGTGATCAACAAAAAGGCAAGACCAATTTCAACTGACGAGGCAAAAATGAAAGCTATATTAGTATTCATATGTAGCATGCTATACCGATTCAGTTTTGTATGGGTCATAAGGATAACATAAAATACTAATTTGATTTAAATTGAGGTAACAATAATTATGTCTTAACAGCAACACATATACTGTATTTTCAGGAATGAAACTGAAACATTGATTGAAGTGAGAACAATTACAGAACACGTTGTGAGACTACAAGTCCATGAAAGCTCCTTAATAGTTCACATCCCAAACCATGTGGAACATGATTAGGAAAACATGTTATTTTTCAAAAATGTTAATTGTACTGTCAATAGGGTAAAAGCAAAGATCAATTTTTCTGAAAACAGGATGCTTTGAACCAGAGAAGAATGCTTAATATGCATATCAAATTAAAAGTACTACTCTCAAGTCATATCAGCTTAGTCCTTGTTTACAATAGTACTATCTTTGCTAGCCTAATTGATAGTTTATTCATGTATTTGGAGTTCAACTTGCCATTCAGCTTTTGGTGATTAAAAGCTACAGTCAGCATTTCATAGTTATCCATTGTCCTGTGTACACTTGAAACCAAATGCTAATTTATTTCACCAATCTTTTATTGATTCTCTGATATCCTATTTGTAAACAGAATTTAGCCTGTCTTGTAATTTCATGGAATCTTCAAAAACAAAATCCAGATATGTTAAATTTCACAGGGGTGTTATCGCCATAGAATCAAATCGATTTTATATTTGTTTTGTTTTGTATCTGGAGCTTTGAGATTATTATGAAACATGAGTTTTGCATCACATTTCTTTTCTGCATGACCATTAATATGTAGTCACATTACCACAAATCACATCAATTTCAACCTGGCACCACTACCATTTTTATGGACTGGTCCATGACCCAACATCACAATCGACTGTTTCTAATAGCAACACAATTATTGGTCAAAATGGTACAGAATAACAAATTTGATTTTAAAAGAATATGTTTGGAGAATCAATAAGAGGTAAGTGAAATAACGTAGCATTTGGTTTCAAGTTTTTACAGACATCAATTTGAAAATATATTTAGCAAAAGGAACTTTTATGCCAAAAACTTGAGTGACAAATTTACCTCCAAATACCTGCATTCAATTTTATGAGAACAATGAGACACTCAACTTTTCTGATTAAGAAGTCAGTACTAATCTTGCCTATAGCCTGATTAACTAAGATAAATCCAGGGAATGGTGAAAAATAAAAATACACAGAAACTGTAGAATCTTGAGTGTTATATTTGAAAATTTCTACAATAAGCAGTTTAAATATTTCCAGATCATCCCTATGAAATCAATCGTTTTTAAAGATTGATTGCTTTAGAGATTAAAGGTAACTTACATTACAAATACTCACTGTCAATCAGCTGAGATATGTGTAGTCACGAGACATCTCACAGGATACATGTTGCCAAATCCAATTGTTCTGGAGTATGCCTATTGATGTCTACTATTCCAGCTGTCAAATGTCCTGAAGTATCTCATTACATATATTGTTCAAACTTTTGAGAAATTATCTCATTTGCAGTTCTCAAATATTAAAATATGATTGATTTCAAAAACCACATCCTGCAAGAATATCCAAATGCACATTATATACTTTTGTACATGTAAGAATTAAAGCCTTAAGGAGGCATCAAAATATCGATGTCTGTTTAGAAACTTAACTTATTAAGTTTGGGGGGGGGGGGGGGGTTCATAACTGAAAAGTTTTCCATCCAACAAAATCAATGTTTTTGAAATTTCATAATTAAGTTTAATTTCAGTTGAAATAGATTTAAATTGTAGAGGTTGCCATCTGGTTCTGCAGTTCATGCAAAGGTCATGAACTTTTAATTATGTCTAGATCATCTAATCACTTCAGCTACTGCAGCCAAGCACTAAACATGTACTATTTTTAGCTAATGCTCCGTTTTTTGCGTCTATTTTTCGTATTTGGCATTATTGGGAATTTAAGTTTAATTTCAGTTGAAATAGATTTAAATTATAGAGGTTGCCATCTGGTTCTGCAGTTCATGCAAAGGTCATGAACTTTTAATTATGTCTAGATCATCTAATCACTTCAGCTACTGCAGCCAAGCACTAAACATGTACTATTTTTAGCTAATGCTAAGGTAAAACTAAATTAGTAAGTTTTAAACAGACATTGAACTTTTGATGCCTCCCCGGCCTTATATACCCAGCTTTTGCCAAGGGAGGCCACAGATAGTCATATATGAATGAAAAACATTTATCAATTTTTGTATTTTAAATGTTAAATGAAGAATGTTAATAAAATAAAGTATTTGATGCAAACTATAAACATGCACATATTATAGTCATTAATTAATAATGCTACCAGCTAATGTTCGATGAGCTCTGAAAGATTATTATTATATAAGGCTTATTGAGAATTATACCATATGTAAATAAAATAACTGTAGATATTAGAGCATATTTCAGTCCCTCTATTTTCTCTAAGATGTACTACAATGCATGTAAAACCATGTAACTACCCTTTCCCACATTCCTCCATAGTGTGAAAAATGTGGGGAACTTAAGTAAAAATAAGATGAGAGTTACTTCATTTCCCCACATTGCTCAAGTCACCCACATTTTTCCCTGAGGTAAAAGTGTGTAAAAACAAGAGTGCCATCTCCTGTTTTTACCTAATTTTCCATGCCACACATGGGAGGATTGAAGTAAAAATGTGTAGAACTAAGTGAGAACATGTACCCTTTTTCTCCACGCATGTCAAAACATGGTTTTTTTCCTAAGGGAACCTACAAAGTGAGATTCATAGTGATTAAGGAGAAAGCTGATACTTTGATTAGTCTCCAATCAGCTATTCTGCTTGGCCTAGTTTCCAGAAGGAACATTTCTGCAGTTGACTCTGATAGCACACTGACCACAAACCAGTTGGTGTCTAATTACAGCTATATATTTGAAGGCTGTCTGCCTAGCAAGGTACACATTACCCTTGAAGAAAATGTTAGGCCTGTTGTACACCCCCCTTACAAAGTAGCTGTTCATCAGAGAGACAAATTAAAAACAGAATTAGAGCAAATGCAGTGCCAAGGAGTCATTGCCAAAGTGGATGAGCCCACTGATTGGGTGAACAATATAGTTTTGGTTGAGAAGGGTGACATTATTAAAGTAACAATGAAGAACTGAATTTGATGGAATTCTGATGGAGAATTGAATGGGGATAATAATATCTGCAATATCAGAATTATGTTCGAGAACTGAATGTTGACAATTCAATCAAATCACCATTGTTAAAGCTTTGATGGAGAATTGAATGCAATTATTATATGTAATTATAAAGTATCACTTGTGGTGCTCCAGTTCCTCTTCATAGAGATTGAAAGTGACCAGATGCAGGTAAAAGTCATTACCTGATAGCAAAGGGACTGGTGCCTATTCCTCAGGAGATGCACAAATTAGGAATTTTGTATAAAATAACATCACTGTGAAGTAAAGTTTATTCACAACCCGTAATAAATCTTTGACAAACTATTTGTAATATATAAATCACTATCAAATATGCAAAGGGAAATTCAGCAGGGGCAGATAGGCTTTTGACTCTGAAGCAGCAGTCCAGACTAGCTCATTGTTAAAGTTTTGATGGAGAATTGAATGCAATTATCATATGTTATTATAAAGTATCACTTGTGGCATTCCAGTTCCTCTTCAAAATGAGTGATTGCAATCACTATTTGAGCTAACAACAAATACATTTTGCCAGTCAGTTGTGACCAAAACAGTAAAACAAAAGAGTATGGAACAGAGTAAATGAACACATCATTATGTCTTCTTTGTTTAAATCTTCTTTGAAATCACTTCTCCTCTCCACCTACATCTAATATCAAATATCATGTCATGGTTCATTTTGTTCATGTTTCATTTCTAATCTAGTGATCCTTATTCATCAAAAATATGCTCTTGCTATATATACTACAATGTAATATGTAATGTGGTGTAAACTGCACAGTATACGCCCAGCGTCTTGTGCATACCTCGTTATCCAAATTGTAATAATTATAATATGAAAATAAATATAACATTACAAAAAGGTAGGGCTCAGTTAAGGTCTTCCAAGGTTAAGGTCTTCCAAGGTATCTCATTTCAGAAGCCACAAAGATTTTCGATATTAGGATGTGTGAACACTCTGCTGTATCTCAGGTGAATATATTGAAATGTATTGTTAAGTTAGATAACATAATTAATTCTTTAATTGAACTTTCTATGTCAAGTTAGCGTGATTAATTCACGGGAAAACTCCCTAACGGAACTTTTACTTTTATCTGTCCTGTGTTATTTTCTCCGAGGAAATGGGCCTTAACATGAGCCTACATGAGACTCTGTCATGTTATCCTCAACCGGGACATATTCGTAGCTGTTTTTATTTTTTGTTAGGGTTTAATTTGAAGCTTTTGGTTTTAACTTCAAACGTGCAAATTATTCATGAAGCGCCTTGCTTTAATCTTAAACAAACGTCAGCCTTTGATTTAAATAATGAATTTTTTTCTCACTTTATTGAAACAATTCTTTTAAATCATTAGCAAAACCAAGACCTGGCTTTAGGATTAAAAAAAGTTAGATTAAATGTTTCTAAATTATTATTATTCCTACACATAAACAGGCCCCCGAAGTCATTCCTGGCGCAGCCTATCACTAATGTGTGAATGATCAAATATTGCATAATCTTTGCATATCTCATGTACATATAACAAATATCTTTTAATCTTTAATAGACTTTCTTCCTTCAGTAATAGTTTTATTTACTAGGGTAGAAATAAATATTCCTCTTCAAGTAATAGTCTTTACTTTCCATGTGAAACAGAAGACTTCTTGGATAATAATGAATAATAATAATAATAATGAATAATGGATGAAGGAATAATGTAATAAAACAATTACTCTGGTCAGTAATTCCATATCAGTTTTCATTCCTATATCTAGTAATGTTATGTTCAAGTAAATGAATTACTGACCACAGGGAAATATGTCAAGTAATTATTTGTCCTTGTGAATAAATGATAAGTAATTGTTTGCTGGTACCAGTAAATTACCCAATTAAAATACTAACCGAGTAATATAATTACAAACGTTTCATCTCTAAAGGTACAAAAACAATTACATGAAAATGTAAAAAAAGAATACAATCGGAAGTATATGATTTTCACAGTGTTCTATCTGTTATCCTGATGATTCATAAAACAGCATTATCTAATATAATTTTGTGGAGAAACTTCAGTATTGCTTTCTATTCAATAAATGGGATGAGATGGGTCCCTGGGTAAATGGATAATATTCAAAGATGTATAGAGCATATAATTTATCTAATGTTCATATTCTTTATTTTTTGCATGCCATAAATAAATAAACCAATGGTTTAAGCATCAGGTTACTTCTTGTTTTGATTTTATTAAAAGGGTTGGATGTGGTTTGCTTTGGAAGACCTTATAAATAATTCAAACAGAATGATAAATTAATTAATGAGTTATGTTAGTCTAAAGTTCCTCATATCAAAAAACATTACGGATGTTTTAAGCATGAATAATAAAGCATGATATAAAAATTGAAAGATATTGGTAGGGAGTCAACACCAAGAGAAATAATATTGTTAACAATGTAAATACATGTATACCCAAGAGTTCTACAAAATATGATGGATTATGTTTGCCCGTCATTATTTGTGGCGAGATAGTCCAATGTTTGATCTATTCCGGTGCTAAGGCCAGTAAAATTTATCTTCAGCTGATGATTAGTTTCACTGTTTCAGCTCCAGAAAGAGCTGCAGTTTTGCCCAGCTGTTGACACCTGCAGGGGGGGGGGGGGGGGGTTAGAGTCAAAATGTTTGCTGTAAATTTTATGCTTCACTCAATTTTAAGACCAGACAGAGTGTCTACCACAATCGTTTAAGGGTTTATCCTATGGAGAAATTAACTGAAAATATTTTAGAATGACTTAATTCTGAGTAGTTAAATAAAACTTAATAGACTAAGATCTGGCCTCTTATTAAAATCACACCTTTATGCTCACAACTTCAAAGACATTACTGATCCTTTGTGCCATTGTGGTGTACCAATGACAACCATGCATTTTCTTTTAAAATGCCCACTGCTACAGAATGAAAGAAACAACCTCATTGCAGGCCTTCGTACTTACAATTTAAGTGACTTGTTCAATAACTACAACTTGAATGACAAATTACAATTTTTACTGTTTGGAAGCACAAACCTGGATGCTACTATGAATGAAGCTTTAATTCATATTGTTAGCTATTATATACATACAAGCCTTGTTTTATTATCTATCTAGTAGTAATTTGACAAGTCCTTTTTTCTGCAATGACCGAATTATTTTTCAAGTTCCGTTAACATCCTGGCCCATGGGATAACCTTCAGGTATTTTGAAATAACCTTAACAAATTTATCTTATTTCATTATCTAATATCTACATGTATATATAATATATATATTAAATTGCCGCTAATGTTGCAAAACCTTGGCAATTAGAATTTGTAATTGAATGTAAATGTTTATATTAGAAATAAATTGATAACATGAAAAAAAAAAAAAAAAAAAAAAGTAGTTCACCATTGACTGTTTTCTGCTATTTGTAATAACACTTAACACTAATTACATCACTGTTGCCTATTTTTTGTAAATGAGCTTCTCAGGGCCATCCTTTTGAATGTTGGGGATTTGACGGGGTCGGCAAATGCAGGGGGGCTGCTACTGGTGGTTATGGTAAGCAAATCATAACGTTTTCCTCTGAGAGTGACTGCACTCGTGTATCTCTAATTTCAATCATACTTCTGGTCTTCTTAAACACAGTACTTGGGAGTGCTCCATTGTCACCTTGCTGGGCACCTTTTTTTCTAACTCACAAAGCAGGCCATTCCATTATTTATGGGAACCTGAATAATAAATCCTACCATTATAAATACCAGGTTGTCTAAAACAATTATTGTTGAAAGAATACTATTATAAGTTGATAATTTGTCTGCTTTGTTTTAGAAAACTGTATGATGGGTTTCATATAATAACAATTGTCATTTAATTACTGTGCATTTCAATAACACTTTAATTATATAATATTGTTTTCAGCCAGACAGAGCGACTCCGGAAATGCCAAGAGGCTGGCCGTGGTTAGTGGCAGAAGATACTCGTAGTACATCATCTTATCATATTCTTTACAACGGGGCAGTGATTGGACCAACACAACATCTGGGACATGCCTTCAGGGCTCTCTTTGGATTGTATTACATATTAGATCTGTCATACCCCCCTTTCATTGGCAAGGCGACTGCACAAGAAGACCTAAAAGTTGTAAGGAGAAAGGCCAGGGGCATTTTAAACTACCTTTAGGAACACTTTAATATGTTTTATTCTGATTACCACAGTTTTGCCTTTGGGAGGATATTTAGCACAACAAATAGATAGTTAATTAGCTTAATTAAAGGATTAGTATTCACATATATTGTACATCAATATCCTTTAATTAGCTATAATGTTGAGTTATTAATCAATTTATATTAAATGAAGGTGTGTGATGCACCTGTTATAATGTATTTCTTACCTCAATATTAGTGATATTGTCTTAAAGTGTCTTTCTAAGACTTAGAAGGAGAAATGTGAGATTTCGAGCCATATGTCTCAAGAAAATGCTCTTACCTTTCTAGTAGGATGAGTTCAGGTGCCAAAAACAGCTGATCAAAGGATATATATCATTTTCTAATTGAAAATTTTTGTTGAGCCCTGCATTTTTAACACTGTTTTGACAGGAAGTCATATCCAAAATGAAAACTGAATAAAACAACATTTATCCTAAATGTAGATCAAAATACTTACTCCGACATGCAAAATGTTATTATTAATAGTAATGCTGATCATTTTTAAGAAATTTAAGCATGTAAATAAGACTTTTTTCGTCCATGATTATATAGATAAAAAATTTCTCCCTTCAGGAAGCTCGGCAGTTTGGTGTAGTGGTTAGAGCATTGGGCTCAAACAAAGTTTTATTCCAAAAGATCTGGGTTCAAATCCCTCCGGTGGAATATGTTTTTACTCTTTATTTTTGTTTTTTTTCATTTTGATCCACAATATTTCTAAAATAAATTTTTATATATGGCACTTAAACCATATTTAGTATTTCCAAGGGTTTTAATTTTTAGATGAAATCATAGAAAGTTACTTTAACCTTCTTTTTGTTGGTTAAAGGGAGGGTTTGTGGGTTTTTCGTCCTGCTTATCTGGATGTCTTTTGGTAACTGACTTACAACTTGTTACCTGCTGTGTTCTGACGTCACTGGTCATGTGATCTCCAATTGGGGACCTATCAATCTTACCATAATTGACCTTACTCATGTATTTATTGTACTAACCAACTATTCTCCCTGACAAAACCGTTTATAATTTCATAAATCTAATTATTGTATAATTATTATTATATATGTATATGATATTATGAAGGCAGAATAACATATTAATAAAGTCTGTGAACCCATATTACATGAGTTATGTCCATTGGTGCAGGTTTTATATATATATTATAGAGAAAAAATAAATATAGCATCGTCTAGAAATGGTATTGTTATATGGAGGAATAACTAATCCCTTTCAAAGTAAATAGTTTACTAAGAGCTAATATAGAAATCCCTCACCAGGTAATATTTTCATTTACTAGAGTGGAAATAAAACTTACTTCCCTCAGCAATAGTTTTATTTACTAGGGTAGAAATAAATATTCCCCTTCAAGTAATAATCTTTACTTTTCAAGTAAAACTTACTTCCCTCAGTAATAGTTTTATTTACTAGGGTAGAACTAAATATTCCCCTTCAAGTAATAATCTTTACTTTTCAAATAAACATAAGACTTCTTGGATAATATTAATGTAGTAATAAGATTTATTGATAAACAAGTTTATTACAAATTCAGGAAATGTACTTCCAACTGAAGTATAATATAATTTTTAGATAATGTAATAAAACAATTACTCTGGTCAGTAATTCCATATCAGTTTTAATTCCTATATCTAGTATTGTTATGTTCAAGTAAATGAATTGCTGACCACAGGGAAATATGTCAAGTAATTATTTGTCCTTGTGAATAAATGATAAGTAATTTTTTTTTACTCGGACCAGTAATTTACCCAATTTAAATACTAACCTAGTAATATAATTACAAAAATTTCATCTCTAAAGGTACAAAAACAATTACATGGCCTAGTAATTAAATTACATGAAAATGTAAAAATAATACAATCGGAAGTATATAATTTTTAGAGTGTAGCTAGACCAGCATTTTTAGCATTAATCGTGATAATTTGGAATAGATCAATGAAACTTGGGTGACTGATGGTGTAACAATATTGATTGTTCTACTTGATTGCTATATCTATGATTGTTCAATCAAATATGTTCCCGGGTTTAACTACATGTATTGTATTGCACTGAACGAAAATAATATACTGCATTGTGGGTAAAATCTAACGATGGCTACTTGTCTTATTTGAATACTGAACACAATCTTACATGGTACTGCAGATCGTCGAATCATCCATCAACATATCATATCTACAAACATTATATATTTATCTGGAATATAGGATATATATTTCGCAATGGCGCATTCACTTGACTTTATACCAAAGCCGGAAAAGCTGGACTTCAAATCTAAAATTTCCAAAAATTAGGAAAGTTTTATTGAAGAATCTAATATATATATTGATGCTATTGGTGGTATAGATAATACTGACGATAAAAGAAAAATCGCATTATTGTTGATGATTGCTGGTTCATCGGCTATTCAGCGGTTTAATCACTTCACTTGGAATGAACGGGAAGACGAGACAAAATTCGCACATGTTGTCAAGAAATTTGAGGATTATTGCACACCTCATAAAAATGATACTTATGAACGTTATGTCTTCAGAACCAGGATAATGGCGAGTCATGAGACATTTGAAGAATATCTTGCTGATCTTCATAGAAAGATAAAAGATGATTCATTTGTAAATGCTGTTAGTCGCAAATTTCCATCTAAACATTCTGATAAACGTCAATCTGACAAAAAGTCGAAAAAAAATTTATCGCAAACTGCCAGGATTGGATTGTGTTTTGGATTTCCACATGGCATTTGTTCATTATGCATTTTACATATCTGACATTCTATGTCTGAATGTTTGCTGAATGAAAATATATTCACTGGTTTGGGATTTTTAATAAGCGGTCGGCTTTCCATTGATTTATAGCACAGATCACACATTTTTTGGGTGAATATCATCTCTATCATTGTCAATATTAAGCAGATATAGTTCAAGTAACTCACTCTTGTAATTATTACAAAGTTTTGCTGGCTTCCTTAGCTTAGATTTTTGAGCTCTTTTGCCACAAATCCTGCATATATTGCTGAGGCAGAGTCTATGATAAGATATATCTGTAGCCATATTGGAATTTTGATTCTGTTTTATCCCACTTAGAAATTCAAGTTATCCTTGGTAAATATACCGTTAATCCTTATCCAGATACATAAGGTGAGTTCATAAAATACTCATCTTTGTAAATATAGTTAGTTGAGAAAATTCTGTAATGCCAAAATATCTTAAAAGTAGATATAAATTCACATTAATATTTAGAAAATGTCAATCCGACACTTACTATGACAACAAAGTTGAACATGCTAGTTAACTAAAGTTCAAGAATATTCAAAGACAAAGTGTAGTTTACATCAATTTGATCACTTGCCTAGCACCTGTTTCACATTTCAAGTACACAAGAACCAAGAGTATAAGACTAAAGTTTTGGGGTTTTAAACTGGAAGAAAGACTGCACTGGTTTGTTTACAGAGGTTGCCTAGCATATTACTAGGCAACAGGCTAAAGCTATTAATTATTCTGGTAAATCAAGGCCTTATCATTTCACAGCTAAAGCCAGCCTATCTGCAGTAGTAGAGACTACTGTGTACAATATCCCCCCTTTTTTTGTTTGTTCGACCCTGAACAAAGAATTAAATTTCAGTAATGATAAAAGAAAACCCATTTTGGTAATTTAGTTTTTAGGTTATAATGTCTCTTGTAAGTTATACTTTAATTGCTCTTGTTATCTGGCACATCTGAATCCTCAATAAACTTGTCCCCAAAACATCACTAATTATATTCTGTAGCACTCCAAAAAACAAAGCAAGTGCCAAAGTCTTTACTTGAAACTCAAGCCAGATCTCCATCATCACTGCTTAACGAGTCAGAAATTAAAACAAACGACATGCTAACTGTGAGGAGACTCAACTTTTTTTAAGAAGACTAAACAAGATGCTCAGATCACTGTTAAAGCAAAAGGTCAACCCATTCTATTGAAAAAAGTGACCCGTCCTCGGAAAATCAATAACCCTTCCGCAAACACTCTTAAACAACGCATTCGTAAAGTGAAAAATGAAGGAGATTTAATCTGGAGGTCAAATTCAATCATTCCAGGCTGCTGAGATTGATGCAATGGATACACATACACGAAATCGTGTCACAAAGAAACTTAAGCACAATAAGTATATTTCAAAGAAAGTCGGTATTTTAATAGAATCCACACTTGGATTATCAAGTGTGGAACTGCTGAACCAGGGCTTCAGATGGTTGGTCAGAAGGGAACCAAGCTAAGGGATCAACTAACCACAAGTAATGTGTGAGGTAAACACAGCTGGGTAGTATGCTGGCGGGGATCAATACTTTCAGGTTAGTCATTTTGGTTTACTCTGTTCTTAGCAGCACCTGGGAGACAGATTTTATGGAGCCGTTGGGAGTGTGTTCTTGTTCTTAGTTCCTTTCTGGTCTTAACGCTTTATTATCCTAAGCGACTTCATTTTTTGGGCTTAGCTTAAGCGGCTGATTTGGGTTGGCCATACTTCCAGTTCGCTCTTGCAACTCTCAGGATCTATAGCTGATCAAGTGCAGTTGGTACACTGGGCTTCCCATCCCATTCTTTGTACAGAACTCCTCCATTTCATGGTCACTCCTCTTTCTTCCATTTCTGCCTATAACAAAGTCCAATTGAGGACCAAAGGTGAAGTCTAGCTTTGTGTGACACATAGTTTTTGAGTTATAGCAAAAAACCTAAAATGACATGTATAAAAATAGTATTTTTTGGCAAATTGTCAAGAAACAATGTGTTATTTTCTCCGGTATCAATGTGTAAAATATAAATCTATATCCCTCCTGACTTGTTCCGATTGAATTGTCATTAGTGTAAAACTGCAAGATATTCCTTAAATGGATCATGTATATATTTTCTTCTAGACTTATTAGATGGACTGTCGGTGCCGGTGTTATTCAGCACGCTGCGAAATGTGGGGAAAACAAAAACCATGCGAATGGTTGCCAAAAGTTTTGGCTTAAGAGATCCAACTACGACGATCAGAGCGTCATCTGGGGCCGTTGGAACAT